ATAGAGTACATGTAAATCTGCTCTGGGTGGTGGTACCTGCGAGACACTAAAATGTAACACCAGCGCAGAATCGAGAGATGGAGGTCTATATAGGAGGTGTCGATTGCTCGAATTTTTCTTTTTCGAGGAGAGGAAATTACCATCAAGATTGCATATACGGCGGCGACAAACATAGTATGCTTGTACTGAACGAAACGGAGCACGCGAGAGACAATACTTTTACGCGGGACAATACTATTGCAGTAAGGCGAGCAGTATCGGGTGACAATAATAAGATTGCCGTTAAAAAGAAGCTGAGCGTGTTGAATCGTGAATTTTTGAAATCATTGGGATTCATCGTACGAAAAGAATGATTGATGTTTTGAATATCGGAGGTGAGCCAGTCTTTGATGACCGCATCGTCAAGATTGAGACTCATACGTACAATCCGTACGCCAATACGACGCTTGGATACAGCGACGAGATACGAATACCTATACAACATCAGGATTTATACACGTTACCGTGCGAAAGCTTTCTTTACATCGAGGGAAGATTTAATGTACGTAAAGCGAATGATGAAATGAAGGTTGTATTGGGAAACAATTGCGTCGCATTCATGTTTGATGACTTCGATACGAACTCGACGGAGTAGAGATTGATCGCAACAGAAATGTTGGAATAACATCAACGCTGAAAAATTATGTCTCTCTAACGCACCAGAAAAGTATAAACTTGAAGAACGCTGCGTGGGATTTGACGTACAACGGTGACAAAAAATTATTTCAACTTTTGTGTGCCGCTCAACATGTTGCTGGGATTTTGCGAAGATTATAAACGCGTTGTGATTAACGCTCGTCATGAATTGATTTTGATACGTTCGCGCAACGATAATAATTGTCTATTCGGACATCCGTCGTCGGAAGCTGAGATTGAATTACTCAAGATACAGTGGCGTATGCCTCATGTAATATTAAACGAGATTAATAAATTATCAATGTTGCGAATGTTGGAAAGCGGACGATATTTGAACATGAGTTTCCGATCTTGGGATCTATACGAATTTCCTCTGTTACATAGCACGACCAAACATTCGTGGACCGTGAAAGCCGCCTCCCAGCTAGAGAAACCGCGATACGTGATCATTGCACTGCAAACTGGTAAAAAGAATTCGGTGTCACAAGATGTTACATTGTTCGATAACTGCAAATTGACCAACGTTAAACTCTATTTAAACTCGGAATTTTATCCCTACGATGATTTAAATTTAGATTTTGAAAAAAATAGATTCGCCGTCCTATTCGACATGTACTCTCGTTTTCGCAAATCGTATTACGGATGCGATAATAGCACCGCGCTATTAACCATTCCAAAATTTCTACATTGCGGTCCTCTAGCGGTCATTGATTGCTCGCGACAAAACGAGTCTGTCAAAACTGCTACCGTGGACGTGAGAATAGAGTTTGAGTGCAGGGAAAATATACCTGCGAATACTACCGCCTATTGTCTCATCTTGCATGATCGGGTTGTCGAATATAATCCATTGACTAATGTAGTCCGCAAAATTACATACAGGTCAGCAAATATCCCCTCCATTGCATATGAAGAAAAATATAAAAGATTGAGATGTTTGACGATTGACATCAGTCTGCGATCGGATCTTATCATCATGGCTGCGCCAACGTTTGTGGATCTGCAAGTATTTATCGTTGGGAAAAATTTTGTCGTGAAGGAAGCTGCGGTTTTGAGAAAAGGATCCGTACTTTCTCATTACATTTTTACATGCCCGGTACCATGGTACATGCTCACAAAATCTGAGAGATGTCAGGTTTTATGGCTGATTAAAAACCACCATGGATTATCGTGGAATGATGGACACGTTTCATATTGGAATTCGAAACGTTTAATCACGACGGCGGTGATGGGTGCAACGGAGGAGGATGATGCATCACCTCTCGTGTACGTTAAAGGCCACGAAAAGCGACAATGGTTGGCCGATATACTGGACGATGATGCGAGAAACGATGTGATTATCGAAACTTTGGATGCAGACTATGAGGATGTAGCTTCTTTAAATAAGTTAGATGTTAAGAATACTATGCGTTGTGAAAATCATGTAAAAAATTGCGCTCTACAAAATGTATTTAAAATTTATAATTGGTGGTTGAAACATCATGATGATGATTCTTCGAATCCATACTTATAATAAATTGATGATGCGATATATTTTTATCGTCTTTCTTATTCTCTCCTTTTTTCCTCATCCCTATCTATGCATGTGCGCAGTATCATGTTTCCATACGTGACACAGCTGCCACATATATTGTATTTCGATACTACATTGTAATACATTGAAATATTTGTTCGATAAATGAATATAATTATAAGTTTGATTTCCGTTCAACGGGTTTCCGTTCAATTATCATTCATTTCCGTTCGACGGCGTTTGACAACTGTTCGTTTCCGTTCGATGACCGTTCAATTACCGTTCGTTTCCGTTCGATGACCGTTCGACGAGCGTTCGAAGAGCGTTCAATTACCGTTCGACGATCGTTCGTTTCCGTTCAAAGAGCGTTCAATTACCGTTCAACGATCGGGTGTTCAATGATCGTTCATTTCCGTTTGATCAGTTGACGCATTACATTATATCATGCTAATTTGCTTGGGAAAGATGCATACTTTTGTCTTACGATGCGTTTTTGGTAAAGCGATAATGATACGTCTCTATTCTAAAGTTTTGTACCGAGAAGTTTGTCTTCTCACAAAGTCATGATATGATATTGATATTATACCGCGCTGAGTTGCATGGGACCGGATGTACTTTTGTCTTACGACGCGTTTTTGGCATGGTGATAATGTGGCCAACGATCGGGTGTTCAATGATCGTTCATTTCCGTTTGATCAGTTGACGCATTACATTATATCATGCTAATTTGCTTGGGAAAGATGCATACTTTTGTCTTACGATGCGTTTTTGGTAAAGCGATAATGATACGTCTCTATTCTAAAGTTTTGTACCGAGAAGTTTGTCTTCTCACAAAGTCATGATATGATATTGATATTATACCGCGCTGAGTTGCATGGGACCGGATGTACTTTTGTCTTACGACGCGTTTTTGGCATGGTGATAATGTGGCATCTCTACTATAAAACCTCGTGCCGGGACCTCGTTGTCGCTTCATAAAGTTCTAACCAGTGTGTGAAGTGTTAAAAATCATATATATATATATATATATATATATATATATATAATGAATCATATTGTCTTTCACATCCAGGAATGGAAAACGCATTTCTTGGATATCTTAAATGACATAGCATTAAGCATAATTTTTCGATGGAATGTAAGTATCATTTTCATGATAACTTGTTAAAAAATTCTGAAAAAAGAATGTAATAATAAATATTTTTATATAGTCCCAGGATGAAATCGAGATTCCTGGATTTATTAATATCCGGCACCGACAGTGGGTGCGGACGATACGTCGGGCAAGGAGGAGCCACTTCTTATACATGTGGGGCGACACCCCGGAGAGTCGCCAGGGTGAGGATATTTTTGACCTGCGGCGGCTCTTCGGGGAGGAAGAGGAAGAGGAGGAACGTGAAAGAGATGAGGAAGAGCAGGAGGAAGAGCAGGAGGAAGAAGAAGAAATTTGGGATTGGGAGGGAGAAGAGGTATGGCAGGATGCCTTATCTCGAGGATTTTAAGGTATGTATCCCTGTTTTACAATTTTTATATTAAATAAATTATTGGAAATTAATGAAATGTGTATCTTTTCTGTTACAGAAGCGGTCCCCCCTTAGCCCGACGCATCGTCCCCAATTTAATTTTTAATTTTTAATTTTATATTTTATTTTATTTTTATATTTTATATTTTATTATTATTTTATTATAATCTTAATTTTAAGTACACACACACACACACACACACACACACACACACACACATACACACTTTTATATTTTATATTTTATTATTATTTTATTATAATCTTAATTTTAAGTACATACACACACACACACACACACATACACACACACACACACACACACATACACACACACACACACACACAATTGTATTAACACATACACATTTTAATAAATTTTATATATTCTATATCCGTAAAAAAAATCTAATTATTTGTATGCCTCTCCTTGCGTTCCCATCCCTGCGTTAGTTATAAGCATCGCGATATCGTTCTCTCTCGTGCGTTAATCTTAAGTCTATCTTTCGCGATTAGAATTAGTAATCTCTCGCGCTATGACACAGAAAAATGTATAACAGATTTTAAAATAAATGTTGTTTCAATAAAAAAAAATGTGATTATTTACGCGTCTCTCCTTGAGTTCCATCCCTTGCGCTATCTCTCTCTCGCGCACTAGTTGTAAGTCTCGCGATATTATCGTTCTCTCTCGCATGCGTCGTCTTCGCGCTATCGTTCTCTCTCGCACGCGCTAATTGCAAGTCTCGCGATATTATCGTTCTCTCTCTTGTACATGTCGTCTTGGCGCTATCGTTCTCTCTCTTTCATATACTCGTTGTTCACTTACCTTTGCGTCGTCCTTCTCCCACCTATACGTCGCCCTTGTCCCACGTTAACGCCATCCTTGTCGCACTCGTAGTACTGTCCTCTTCACACTTTGCACTGTCCTTTTCCCACACGTAGCGCTGTCCTTCTCACACCACCGTCCATCTCTCACGCCGCTGATCCCCCTTCACTGCGCGGACCCCCTCGTCCTCGCGCCGCGGTTCCCCCTTCACCTCGCGGACCCCCTCGCCCATCGCTCGCGCCGCGGATCCCCCTTCACCTCGCGGTCCCCCTCGTCCATCGCTCGCGCCGCGGATCCCCCTTCACCTCGCGGACCCCCTCGTCCATCGGTCGCGCAGCGGTTCCCCCTTCCCCGCGGGTGACGTCACCCACCGCGCGCCGCGGTTCCTCCTTCCCCGCGCGTGACGTCACTCCCCCCGCACCGCGGTTCCCCTCGCGCCTCACCCCCCCTGAGAGGACCTGGGTTAGAACTCTCCTTGTATACCTACTGGCGTTTCCATTGAAAAAAAGTTACTTTTTAAGCTTTTGACTTTGAATTGACATTCTCAAGGTCACTAAATCAAACTTGAAATATCATTACGGACTTATTTTTTCCCGCTCTATCCGATTCCGGGATCAAAAAGAGAGGTTCCCATTAAAAAAAAACTTTAACCTTCAAATGACCTTGAAAATCAAGTTCAAGGTCAAGGTTGGCACCATCAGGTGACCCCCTCTGCCCCCTTCAACTTTTGTCTAAAACATTTTTCTCTATCTTGCTTCGGTTCCGAAAAATTTAGGTAGGGAGATTAAAATGGGTCACCTTGTATAGGTCATTATATAGGTCGTTATATAGGTTATTATAGGTCATTATGTATTAAATCATTATATAGGTATACATAGGTCGTTCTCTCATCGCGTATGATGAAGATTGAAAAAAACTTTTGTAAGAATAAAGGATCATTTTTTTAAAACAAACGATCATTCTTTCGATTGCTTTTCTCGCGCATCCGAGCGTATCTCCCCTCCTCTCCTCCTCTCATCTTGTCCGACGCTTCCTCGCGCTCTCGGGGAGCGATATATCGCCGAAGGACGCGCGCGCGCAATAGTTCGCTACTGTCCCGATCCCCGCGCGCTCGCGTTATCGCTCGCGCTAACGATATCCCTGCTCGTCGCCGTCGCGGCGACGCTGACTGACTATGACGTTGCGGAGGCGTCCCATTATCTGCGAACCTACGGCTTTCTGGAGAACGAGGAGAATCATCAGCAGTCGTCGTCATTGGACAACGCGACCACCCTGAGCGAAGCGCTATCCTTGTTTCAGGAATACTACGGTTTGCCGGAAAACGGCGTTTCTGACCGTGGAAACAATTCGCGTCATGCCCAGGCCGCGATGCGGCGTCGCGGACATTCACGCTCACAGCCCATTGACGAGAAAGTGGCCGAAGACGCATCTCACATGGAACTTCAGACTAGCGAGCAGAGATACTCTGCGCACGATTCGGAGCGCGTTCGCTCTGTGGTCCGAGCAATCCTCCCTGACGTTCTCACATGACACACTGCGACCCGATATACTGATATACTGATATATCCTATCAATCCCGTGCTCATGCGTACGAGAACAGCGACAACGGGGACTCGTGCCCGTCGCCGTTCACGGGACCGGGATTGGCCGTAGCTCACGCGTTCTTTCGGACGGGAGTGGCCAATCACGGAGGTACATGTCGACGAGACGGAACCGTGACACATCACGCTGACTAGGCCGCCGTCGGATAAGCTGTATCTCCTTCAGACGCTAACGCATGAGATCGGTCACACTCTGGGTCTGACTCACAGTCTGAGGGAAGATTCGATCATGTACGCGTATACGCCTTCGGAGGAAAGGCGATATCCGCTCAGACTGAGCATAGAGGACGTCATAAGCGTGCGAAATCTCTACGGATCGAGAGAGACGACGAATCCTACGATCGTCGGCGCTACTCCGACGACCGCGACGACGACAACGGCTACGACGCCGCTCGCTCCCGCCAATACCGTGATCAATCTATGCGCCTTGAAGCGCATAGACGGAGCGTTAATCATGAATCATCGCTTGTACGTCGCGCAACGTGTGGCCTATCGATATGAGGCAGAGACGCTACGGAGCGCCCTTCTCGTTCGCCGACTACTTCAAGTTTCTCCCCCGCAATCTCACTCGCATATCGGCCATGTATCAGAGACCCTCGGGCGATATCGCGATATTCGCCGGCGACTACGTCTACCTTGCCGATTCGAATTTTCAACTTAAAGCGGGATGGCCGAGATCCGTCGAATACGTTGGATTTCCGCGCAAGGCTAGGATAAACGCCGCGATAAACACGCACGCTGGACGCAGCTACATCATATACAACGACGATAAAATAGCTGAGATAAACGACTGCGCAATGACCGCTACGAGGCATGGCGCTCTGCGGGATACGTTTTCCGGGATACCGTCCGCGATAACGGCAGCCTTCAGCCACGCCGATGGTAATCTCTATTTCTTGAAGAAACGCGAGTATTACGCGTACAGCGAATTCACCAACGCGATAATCTCAGCCAGTCCCTTCGATCTTCGTATACTGGGAATAGAATGCCCCGCCAATAGCATTCTGCATCGATTGAGCGAACTCGTCTCCAAGCTGTATCGTCTGAAATACACATCCTTCGAAAGACCGCGCAACGACGGCGACGATGATGACGACGACTAAGATCAGGAAATCCTGGAACCTAACATTAAGATTACATTAAGATTACATTTAACACGCTGTTCTAAACCGCTTCCGCTGCATTAATTAACGCGCATAACGCGTATATCGAGGAAAAAAGAAATGACGATCGAAATCGCGTATATAAGACGAGTCTCGATCGCTGCGCGCGACATTTCCAGCGATACTCCGGATTAACGCGCGTCCGATTCTAAGCGAGCGTCTCCGACGAATCTCTCTCTCCTCGCGATAACTGACGTTAACGACGCCGTCGCCGCCGCTGCCGTCGCTGTGTTTCCTACGAGCATCGAATCCTTCTTCGCGAGACCGATCATGTTCGCGGGATTCGGACAGGAGTACCACAGAGTATTCGGGAATCCATCCGCGATGCCCGCGACTTCGTCGGTGCCGCCGACGGCGGGCCTCTTCGTCGCCCCGCCGCTCCCGCCTAACCGTCGAGACGACTACGCGGCTTTCGCCACGGATACCTCCCGCGATCGTTCCGACACCCCGCCCGTGATCAAGAAAGCTCAACTGTACACCGAGGACGAGTATACACGACGCTTCGCGAATTACCTCGCCCGAGCGCTTTCGGTTTCCGTCGCGATCGACTATTTTATATAATAGCGTCGACTTTTTTTCCGATCTCGACAGGTGGACTAGAAATTAGCTGTTCAAACGCGAAATCAATTTCGCGAAACATTCGATTCGCATATTGGGAAGACGATATCCGCTGACCAAGACGGCATACATCGCCGTCGCTGTGAAGCGCGAATCTCAAGTCGATATCGTCCTAGGAGACTGTCATGGAAAAGAGATATCTCTGACGCCCGACATGTGGAAAGATCTACTCACTCTGCGCAGCGACATACTACCGTATTTCGAGACTTCGACTTGGACGAGGCTGTGGCGCACCCTCCGATGTCCATAATTGTCGGAACCGTGACGCTTCGATTCGGCAAGATAAACAATCTAAAGACGTTGCGATTCGAGACGCCGAAAAGTCGCACAGCTATGTCGCACTTCACCGTAAAGGCACTGTTCACTCTCGAGCTATGCGTCAATCGCATCGTCGCGTCGTTGACCGGCGTACTCGAGGCCGTAGACGCCAAGTTATCGCGTTTCCTAGATATCGCGACGGAGACCGACCATCCCGGCGATATTCCGAACGCGATTCGTCAACACGAGCACTTCAATGCGAACAACCTGATCGACTAAGAATTACACGCTCTGCTATTCGGACTTTATCACAATTTGTAAAACGCGCGAATCTGTCGTCCGCGCGCGACAAATAAATGTATCGCGATTACGATATCGATTTCGAACCATATATTTACCCGTATAACTGCGTTCGAATGAAACGAAACGATCACGAATATCAATATTATTCTCGACGTATGTATCTATGCATGTAACCTTATGATATAATAAAAATTATACATGTAATTTATTCTCTCTCTCTCTCTCCTCGATTTACGACGAATTCATTCCTCCTCGAAATACATCTAATATATACATCATATAGGTATATTATACAGGGTGTCCCATTTTAATCGATGACCCCGAATAACTTTTTTAATTTTGATTGTAGGAAAAAATGTTTCAGACAAAAGTTGTATGGCTTGGGGGTATGAAGGGGGACATAAGATTCATCGGTATCATTGGTTTTATCTTGAAAAGTTGTTTGAAAGTCACATGAAGGCCACCTTCAATTTTTTTAATGGAACCCCCTATTTTTTATTACTTATTCTTGTAGCTTATCTCGAGAGCTTTTCAAACACTATAATAAAGTATTTCTTCATTGAGTACTTTTCGAGTTATGAGGTTTGAAATCATTTCTTAATTTTACATAAACCATAAAATATCTAGTAAAATATTCATTTTTCGATTATCCTACCTTAATACTTTTATGTACAAAATAATGAGAGGAATCAATTGCTGTAAAGAAAACACATAATTATTTCGAAGAAAAAATATGTAATTTGCAATTAACAATTCCATATTTTTTCTTAAAAACAACTGTGTTTTTCCTTTACATCAATGAAGGACGCGGAAGCGTCCGCGGTCGCGTGCGTCCGACAGGACGATCGTCGCTTATCGCGCGCGTCTGGCGCGCCGCGTCTAGAGACGCTCCCGACGTGCCATATCCAGAGACGCTCCCGACGAGCGCGTCCTCGGACGCGCGTGCGCTCTCTCCCTCTCTCTCGTTCTTGCTCTCACGCCGCCTCCCGCCCCCCGAACCCCTCTCCCGCTCGCTCCCTCGCTCTCACCCTCGCCCCGCCGCCCCCTCGCCCTCCCCGCCGCGTCACGACCCTCCGTTTACCCATCCGACGACAGGCGGCTCTCCTCGCCCTACCTACTCCGCCTGCTCACCCGCGCCGCCGTCATCCTGCCCCTCAGATATCGTTCTATCTCTCTCCCTCTTACAGAGCTCTCTCTCGCACCAATGGAAAAATCGAGTTAGAAACGACCCTTCCTCCCTACTTATGAGATTTCGAAAAGTGCAAGACTTCGAAAGAGTCCACGGGCGTAGTGCCCGTTATATAGCGGAATTTTGGGCCCGTTGCGACGTGGACCAATAAATTTTATATTTTAACGATGACCTTATGGCGCCGCATACAATTGGTCGCCGATGAGATCTGACGTCGAGATTTTTGCGGTTGTCATGCGCACGATCTTTTTCGATCAGCTGATTAGCAATCAGCTGATCGTGACGTATGGGCGCGCATGAGCAGTTTAGATTTCGTCAACGGTTGACAATATTATTGTCAGCGTTGATGACAAACATTTCTCAGGTGATAAAAAAATGAGAGATAACGCGGACGGTTTAGTTTTTCAGACAAATAGATAATTCGAGAAGTTTCTCGGCCCCGTTAATTTTAAATTCTCGAGCTTTTGATAGCGAAAAATGCGGATTTTTGCTATGCGAATTTAAATCCGGAATAATAATTTAAAATTTTCGAACATCCTGCCAGCCTCGTCAGTACATGACAAAATTTGCGAGTGTGTTCGTGTATAGGCAGGTGTCGCGAACGGTTCCATTGATGAATTGTTGATCGCGATCGATGAATGGAATGCGATAGTGACGTAGTACAAAGACACGTGTTGTTCAGTTCATTCGAGTCTTTCGCAAAAATACGTAGTGCGGTAATGAAGTGAGATATATACAGCAGTGAATAATGTGAAAAATATACAAAGTGATTTTGTGCATAATCTCGCGAGTTGTTATAGTCCGAGAGACTATAACTTATTATACCATTATAATAGAATATATAATAGAACATTCGCGAACCGCGCAAAACCGCCATCTCAGCAAACCACGCGCGAGAACGCTCGCCGGAAACGCGAAAGACGCTAACGAAGGGATTCGACTTTGAACCTCCTTCGCTTGCATTTGGACTTTGGACGCCACGAAGAACCCCCATGACCATACATGGTCATGTCGCTAGGCGATCCCCTCCAAAACACCCCCGAAACCGAGGAAATAAAAGCCGTCCACCGCGAATCCGCGGCGGACAGTCGTTAATTATAAATCAAACAACAACTAGTACGAGATCGAGGGCTAACCACTATACTGTGCGATAAATCACCCGACGAAATTGTTAAACGCTCTAAATCTAAGAACGAAGCGATTAAGGAAAGGACGATTAAGGAAGGAAGGCTCGAAAGAAACCAACTAAAAATAGGATAAGAGAATCTATTTGTATAAAGGATTTTATAATAAAACGTTGTAGACGAAACGGCCCGGAAGTTTTGGTTGCGACACCCGGCTACCCCACACCCCGTGCCGCGTCCGGCACAACATAATTAATGGCAGCGGTGGGATAGCCGAGATCGAGGACCATCCTGGATCCTTAACGCCTGCAACAAAAAGAAAATACAAAATTAATAAACTGGAAAGAGCAACTGCTATATTAAAGCAGATAGTCTCAATCAGCACGCAACACACACGGACGACAGTGATAAGGAAATCACGGCCAAGCAGCTGAAAGTCGAAAGGAAACACCAACGCTCAAGGACCAACGTCGATCCACGGCCAAGGCAACGCAACGCAGACGGACAACGCATCGCCGACGGACAGCGCACCAACGCGGGACAACGACCCACCAGCAGCATCAACAGTCGAGCGACACGATAAGCGACCCGATAAGTTACGACCATGCGAATCACCGTACTACTACTGTAAGTCGAACTTTATTTAAATGTCAGCACCGTCAAAACAAGTAAAATTTAAGAGTCCGCGATTTCTAAGCGTGCCAGCCCGATTGGCAAATAGATTCGGAACTGTAACTCCGATACGAGTAGCAGAAGAAGCTGCTCGCGATATTCGTAGAAGCGTGCGAAAAAATTTAGAAAAACATTATTCGAGTTCTAATTCATCCGAGGAACACGAACCGAGTAATAACGATAATTCGGTACAAAACGGACCAAGTCGCGTTACAGTACGAAGAAATTATTCACCGATATCAGTTGATATTAGTTTATTCGAGCCACGTGCGCAAGTGAATATGGAAAACGAAGCCGTCGATAGAGAAATCGAGCGCATATGAGCGCAACAGGCCGAACTAAACGCAGCCGCGGCCTATGAGGACGCAGGTCAGCCGGCCGAAGGAACGAGTAACGTATTACTCGCCGAACTCGTACACAGTTTCCGCGAAATGCAAACCGAAATGCAGTACATGCGCGAACAAATGCGAGAGATACAAACCGCACAAGCAAATTTAAACGAAACGCGAGTAAATGCAAACACTGTCCCACTCGACGTAACGTACGGACGCACTCAACGCGATATATACGAAACCGACGCAGCCCCGCACTATGTATCATTAAAAGAAGCGCGAACAATGATTCCCGAGTTTGATGGGACGACGCGACATAGATTACAGGAATTTTTAAACGCTTGTACGTACGCGGTACAAAATATTAATCCCGCGGACGAAGAATCGTTAATACAAGCAATCTTATATACTAAATTAAGAGGTAAAGCCATGCAAGATTTCGAA